CCCCCCCGGAATACTCGTACATCCTCAATACAACCCACGCCACCCCGCCCGCTTAATCGATTATCTAGCTTTATCCTATTTCCTTTGACCCCAGCCTAGAGAACCCCTTTAGAACACTTTTCACTTTCATTCAGCCCACGACTACTGTCATGTACCAACACAAACTACTCGTGGAGGTGCTATTAATTGATTAGCTGGGCGTTGGGTTAACGATGAATTCGCTTCCAAAAAACTTCCTCATTGGCGCCAATGAATTCCTGTTTTGCAGTATAAAACTATGCATTGTAGAGTTTTTGTGATAAGGACAATCAACCCACTAAGAATGAACCAGCCATTAACACCTGTTCAACTTGAACCAACCACGCCGTAAACAAGTAGCGCGCATGATCGCTGTATACATCCTACTTACCCTTCAGACCACTTGACCGTCCTTTGAAAAGCGGGTCTTTTTCTTTTCCTTGATAGTCGAGAGGAAACCTTGAAATAGCAGACATGAATAAAGGTTCATTAACGATTTGATCTTGAACGAGGAAATGCTAGCGCTGGTTCAAGGTGAGAAAAGTGTTTACATAAATATATGGCTCTTTTTTCAAATAGATCGCGAGACAATCTCTATCTGTAAGTGAGATGTTTTAAAAATCTACAGCCGAACTTTTCAGAATAATATTTTTTTTAAACCCATCGTCTTCTTAATTGTGCAAAAATTCTTAATGAATTACCGGTAAATAAACAAATAATACTCAAGGGAATAGCATTTCGTCTTAAGTAAAGATGGTCTATATAGAAGCAACTTGCACTCAAGTCGGTTGTAAATAGTAATAAAAGACACTTTAGTCTTAGTATAGATTCAATGCACTTGTTACTGGTTTAAGCTCAGTTCTGAGCTCAGATATTGAGGAGTTTTGAAGGATTAGTTTAAGTGATGATCTCATTATACCAATTACTTGTCACTGGTATTCAAGAGTGTAAATGGATTTTTAATCCATTAAAACGAATTATTATTCCCAAATCACTTTCCGGTCTTAGCTTCAGTCTTCAGTGTTTTGGACCCAGCAATACACCTAATCGAAAAATGGCGACCAATTTGAATAGCTATTGTTCTACACAGACCAACTAGTGACTTACTAACCTCGTGTTCGCGTAGAAACACAAAAGCGTTTTCACATGTGTGAGAGGCTAGTCAGTCGCTGGTCAGTGCAGAACAATATCTATTCAAATTGGTCGCCATTTTTCGATTCGGTGCAGAGAAGGATCCACTAGTATCCCACAATGCATTGCGAGTGAGAATAACATTTTTCTATTTAACTGACGGCTAAAATTAATATTTCCGAAACTGAAAAACCAATTGTACTTAAGAAGAGTGTATGGCATTCCTTTTAGTTATATCTATTTATAAATTCTTCAAGAGATTTAAAGATGCTTTTCAAAATACTAAAATCAGTACATTTTTTGAGTAATTTCAGGTTCAATACAAATCCTACAACTGGCTGCTTTTATTTGTCAAATTAGTCGAACATGTCTTTGTTAAATGCTAAAACAACACGTTAGCATCATTAATATTAATGGTAGAGGTATCATCAAAAAAAAAGTCAAATAAAGCGGCTAAGCCAAAGAAAATACTCTCCTCTGGATGATTAGCTGTATGGTTTTGCACTTGAGCGTGTTGGGTTCAAAACACTACCCTGGTCTCAGAGGCTCGACGATTTTTCTCCCGGCCACGTATATTTTGAGCCGCGAAGCGGAGAGCAAGCTGAGGACTCGCTGCTTCGCAACTAGCTCACCGCTTCGCGGCTCAAAATATACGTGGCCGGGAGAAAAATCGTCGAGCCTCTGGGACCAGGGTATCAAAACACAGATCATAGAATCTAATGTTATCTTCTGATGTACTCATTTAAGATACACAGACGACATAAAACATGTGTACAGGGCCGTAGCCACATATTTCTGATTGGTCCGGTTTTCGAGGGTTTTCAGTTTTTTATATATATTGTTTTATTTTTCTTATATATTTTCCCGAAAGTTGGTTCGGTTGAAACCGGTGGCTACGGCCCTGGTGTAAAGCCGTCTTACAAACAAAATTACATGGAGTACTTTGGTCAATGAAAACAGAATAGCAATAATAACAACTACATTCAGGAAAACAATATAAAAAAGCATCGTTTTTTCCTGCTGAAGGGGGGCTTCAGCTCCCCTTTGACCCCCCTGGATCCGCCCTTGACATTAGCAAAATATAAGAAAATGAAGTAAAATCAAATTGGGGCAAAGAAAAGCGTTTAGAGTCTAGTATATATTCCACTAGTTGTATCAATCTATACATCTAATTAACGTATTTTCCATGTATCATTTCGATCTCAGGCTCTATGTTCTGTTTTTGACCCGATAATGATTACGTAGCTGAGTGTATATCCTGAAGTAAGCATGTCAGGAAGCAAACAGAACGAACTATATATCCACAACAAATCAACTAATTCAGATACACAAATGTTACATTGATAAATGATCAATGGATCAACCGCTATTTTGTTTGTAAACTCAAGATTCGAATCTGAATTTAAATTAAATTCATTTAACTTTATTTAAACTTCATTAATTTTATTAAGATAATGTTTTAAGGAAGGCATGTCGACTCGCACGTCACAGAGAAACATTACGAGTAGCTTTGTGAAACAGTTCTGAGTCATAAAACCAAACCAAACCAAATTAACCAATGATACCACTATACAAACAGCTGATTCTAAGTGACCACACTTATACACCACAAGTAACAAGAAGAGATAACTAGCTAAAAACTAGTGTGAGCTGCGTCGGTGTTTCTAATGAAACAGTAATGATAAAAAGGTAAATTATACACTGTGAAAAGATGAAAAAACTTACTGACGTTTCGGACGCTAGTCCTTCGTCGGAGTAAAAGAGCACAAGTAACAATTAAACACACGACGCAGGAGAGAAAAAGAAGACAACCGAAAGAAAACGAAAGAAAAAAAGCTTCATATCGTTTAAGTAAATACTCTTAATACGATGGATAAGTAAATTTTAAATTAAAACAAAAAGTCGAAATGAAACGAGTCGTAATGTTTTGTATATTATATGATATACTCCTCATACGTCACAGCATCAGCATATGGCATGATAAAACCTTTATGACTTCAAGAAGCCGCACTCAAACTATAATTTTATTGGGGTTATTCAACATCTTACCTAGCCTGCATTCAGCCGGTATAATTTCTCTCGAAAGAAAAAATACCAGCTGAACGCAGGCTACATCTTACCCCATCTAGAATCATACTGTGATACTTTGATATCATAAACAGCACTCTCGACAACTATAACAGCAACTGGGAAAACTTTGAAACCGTATTCAAAAGGCCAGAAGCCAAATACAAAGACAAAACAAAGAATAACGAAAGTGAAATCTTGTTATCAACGAGTAATATTGCACAGTCATATAACATCTTGATGAATCATAACATAAGGATACTTCCGTGCTTCCCGCAGGGCTAAAAGGTATATTTGTATTCGAGAGATTTATTAGAGCCCGTTACTTGACAATTAGTTTGCATTGAGCCACTAGGGTAATAGATATAAAGTGGATTTGATTACTCTGGCTTTCTGTGAATATATCCTAATTCAGAAAAAACTCATTTGGAAATAAGATAATGAATAATCGGAAGCTCTATGGAATTCTCCCGGGAGAAGAGTCATTTGAGGGATAACGCGGAAAGAATTTTATATACTCATTTTAATGAACTAATTGTCGTGAATAGACCACACGACAAAGAAAAACTCCCGCCCAAGTAATAGATTAATTTAAGCGAGTTTATTCAGAATCAACGATAAAACTAATTTGCCTTGTCGGTACATCTAGTGTGGCCCGTAGTCATGGTAACTAATTTTTTCTATAATACGATAGTATTCATTGCCATTGCAACATGTTGCAACACATCTAAGTATCACCACAGGGAATACCTTTACTTTTTGATATCATTTCCAATTCGTCTGTTCTTTTGAAGCTAGAGTTTTCCATTTATTTTACGGCTTTCTTCATGTCTTCCCCTACAAAGTATATTCCATGTTAACAATTAAAAATAACAACATCGAAAACTTTTAGGCAAATGACATATATTTAAAGCAACCGTGTAAAATACAACGACGTAACAAATATTTAGTAATGTCTGGGCTTCCTGTGTGTTTCGATGGTGCGCGCACCTGGAGCTCTGTTCCTGCGTGCCAGACCATTCTCGTACCCAGACCCTACTCATTAACCAAATCGTCTGATTTTATACGATTATCCTACGAAATACTACGATTTTTAGTAAAATGAGTAGGGTCTGGTTACGAGAATGCTCGACAGACATAGCGTGCGTCAAATATCGGTTCGATGACATATAGTATACATAATCGTTCAGGCAGGCGGGTTTTCACCGCAGTCAGGTTGACACATTTGTTAGATTTGCACCAAAGGCTATACAAGACAGCTTTCATAACAGTAAGTATGAGCTTTGATCGTCGATGCTTGAAGCATTGGTTTTGAGAATGAATTCTTAAAGTTTACCGATAAACCTTTAAAACATTTTTTTGCGCAAATCTCTGAATCGTACAAGTCGTATAGGAATCAGAAGAATTTGAAAAACCAAGAAAGAAATACATATTAAGAAATTTCATTTGCTGTTTCAGTTTTCAGATTCTAGTTTTCATCTAAAAATCGAACTTAAGAGCCGAAGGAAGATATTTCATTTAGCAATATATAATCGAAAGCATGTCGTTCTGTGATTGGTAGGGCTTTAGAACATGCATCTTCATATTCTTAGCCGAAAGATTTGTCCAATTAAGGGTGATAGTTTCTAATATTAAAAAGAACTCATAAAAGGAGAGTGAAACATAATGAAATCATTTCCTCAGCGGAAATGAAGCTAGAGAGTTGAAATGATGGCCTATTTTTAAAACCACCGCGAACCTGCTGGAAGAGCTAAATTAAAAAATTCTAAATTATCGCCAGCTTTGACTTGCATTTGCTCCGATTGATTCATTCTTAACACTAATCTGAAATAAAAAACAATCATGTCTTTTTAAACAGCTTTATTGGCCTTCAAATTTCTCAATAACAAGATAATTGACAACGGCATACTAAAGGGAAAAAAGAAAAAAATTATAATGCAAGAAGAAGGAGCAAGAGGATTGGCGCGAACCTAGAGTCCAATGCAAGGCACCTCTCCACTAAAACGATAAACAAGTAAAAAGACTTAGGCAAAGGAGAAAAAAACAATTAAAATATATTGTTGCCAATGAACGTGGCAATGAATGTTCTGGTCTAACCAGTAAGACTGAATTATTTTTATTTTGAAAACGCTTTTTAATAAGCGATAGAGATCAGCTTGCATACAATCATACCTAAGATATCAAGAGACATGGCGGCCATATTGGTTAACCAACATGGCAGCTATAATAGCAGCACTAAATAACTAGTCCAAGGTTAATGACAAACTGCTGTGCTTAATAGCTTACTTAATTAGAAAACAATGTGCATTCTGGTCTAACTTGGGTACGAAAGAAACCCTTGCACTGACTCTCTCATGTTGTACGGACGCTCAACCGGAGCCCATCAGACTTTGAAATACTTGATCACGTGATCATTTCCAATAATGTCCAGATTGCTGATGGTTTGACAACCTAGACTCTTCTCGGTCAAATTTTACCGCCCAGAGACTGGGAGCCGGAATTGCTAATCAAATTTCAAAATTCAAAATCGCGTCTGATACACACACACACATAATTGATCCGAGCAAAGGGAGCCTTATTTAGATAAAAGTAAAAGGTAAAATATGGAATAGACTTTAATCATTTTCAGTCTTGTATTCGAGATCAAGATATTAAATTTACTTCATAATGATAAAATATTTTCCGATTTTATTTTCATCTTTCACTTATATATAAATTGGGCTCCCTGTGCTCCCTGTGACAAATCGTGTTATAGGTTTTTCCCCTACTCGTTTACACGACTATTTCAGTATGCGACAAAAAATCTCATTAGAAACCCGACGTTCTAACAAAAATATGTCATTACTAATACAAGAAAATATAACGAATGAAAAAATATCGATAAGAAAATTTGGAAAGATTAGCCATGATTAAACTCAACGTATAGTTGCAGTATAGATCGGCGTACGCGTTTTTGGCAAAAGTTCTTGCCAAAACCAAAGGAACTCCACCGAGATAATCTTTGAAAATACTCAGTTTAGTCTATAAGCAAAGGCTTTTTTGTTTGACCATAGAATAAAATAAGTTTTAATAAAATCAGACCAGACTTTTGGCCTCTTTTCGTCAAAAATCATAAATTCTGAAAATATGAATTATATAGGTGGCGTTCTTCTCTTCTCTTCAAGCCACAACGTCAACGAAAACGACTGAATCGATTATTGGCTTGTGTGATTGAGTTTTATTCAATGGTTTGTAGAACAATTTAGGTAAACTAAAGACTTGCAAGAAAAAGAAAGCGCTTAAACCATCTAATTCCAAGAATAATATATTTCTTATATTAGTGATAAGCCTTTGTTTGTAAAAAAAATCTTTTAATTTAACACCTCACCAGTAGTTTCTTTAACAAAAGTCAAAATTTTGACAGAAATGTTATTAATTCAGTCTAGTTGATTTAGGTGGTATAGCTTTGAAAGCTAGTTTCATTAAAAAAGGAATAAAAAACATTGGAAAGAATTTCAAAAAGTTATTGTTTAAATAAGAAATAAGTCAGAAAGGTGCGAACAAAGATCTATTCATTTCAGGTTTCAATCTAAATGAATTATACTATAGTGACAAGACCAACTGATCAGTTCAAATTAACATCTTGGTAATTAAACTCAAGATGGGTGCATTTGAACAGCTCTTGGCATTATTTTTGATCCGTAATCTAACTAAGGCGTAAGTGGGGAAAAGCATCTCTTTTGTACCACTCGCTCTTCGTTCATTATACCTATTTCTCAAGTACTAGTAGACACGATATATGAATTATGATGAAGCTAATGTTTTGATTCAGGAAAATATGTACTAATTTTCTCTCTTCCTGGCTCTCTGTCATTCTTAGATACTGAAGTCAACCATAGATGAGGCAAAAAGCATTGACCACTTGATATCAAGGTATATTAAATTCAGTATTATATTTGAACATTTCTGAGGGCTTCGTAGATCAACAGAGAGAAAAAATCTACCTCGTATTCATTGTTTTGGTACTTAATAGTCCAGGCTTAATTGAATACTTTTAGGATCAAAAAGAAATTCGAATGAAATAAAATGGATGAAAAAAAAATAGAAATTGAAGAATTCGAAAGGTTGGTTTATCGATAAAACCATAAATATCGATCGATAAAGTAGAAACCTTTCCTTCCTTTCTCAGATTTAGGACTGGCGTTTGAAACGTCAGTCCAGTTGCAGTTATTTTTGCACGGTTTTCTAAGTTTTTTCTTATTTATTTGAAAGCAAAAGATCGAAATGTCGTTCAGTCTTAAAAATGATAAAAACCAATCCAAACAAGGAAATTGGTACGCGAGTAAGGCATTTCTAATTAGATATAGTGATGATCTTTACCTAACACAACTAGACCACGAACAAAGCTGTAAAGCCGGAAAGTTCAAAGGATTCAGCAACATAGACGTTAATCATCGCAGCCCATAATGATTGATCCAAGGCTAAACAGCCTAATGAGGCTCGGGAGCTGTACATCAGACACATGTAAGTCTAAGAATGGCGTTGAAAAATAGGGAAAAAGATCTTTACGTATGAGGTGATATGTAAAGCCTCAGGGAAAAAATCCTCATATTTTGCTCTCAAAACTAATGGTTGCTTTGAAACGGGCCAAAATGAAGACGGAAGCGTAATGGAAGAGAGAAAGAGAAAGAAAAAAGAAACAAAGAAAGAGATGTCTTGGCATCTTATTAGCCATTTCGAGGTTGAGAAAAAAGACTGGGTCGAGTCGGCATTGCAGTGCAATAGACCAGTTTCCAATTCCAAATTACCGCTGTGTTGCTTGATTACAGACTCATTTGCACAGGGTTAGCCTCGTATCAGTGTTTAGATATTTACAAATACCAACAGTAAAGTAAAGAATGCACAACTTCAACAATACAAACACTTTGAAATTTCACGGACCTTGACTGGAACACGTGAATATTCTGCACAAATTCGACATCGGCCTTCAAAGTATTTCTCTAAACAGGTGAATATCACTGACATATGCAAATGTCAGCTGTACGGAGATTTATCAAACTGATCAAGAGAATACGCATAATTATTCTGACATTATAATGATTATCAAAAATGGAAAGTAATCAATGTTTACTAAAAACATCAAAACATATTCTTGTCTGGTTATTACCAGGAGAGCCGGCTAATTATGGTAACAACTTAAATACGTGATGTTCTCATAGTAACTGTGATTGAAGGATGAGGAATTAAGGTTAGACAGCCCGCATTTTGCCTCAAGAAATAGTGCCTCGTAAATAGAACGATCGATTTTATGTCAAAATTTAATTTAAGTCGGGCGCTTTTTAGAGAATTCCAGTAAACTTTTCAAGACGGTTAATGGATATTTTTCCTGCCTATGCTACAGGGGTCCGAGGTTAATGACACACTCTAGTTGGTTCTGGCGTTTCATGTACTCTTCTGATAGTACAGCCGATGGCGTTTCTAGCGCAGTGTGAGTAGCTAATTAAGCGAACAGAAAGAAAGAAAGTACGGCCACCAGACATAATATATAAGCAAATGCCATCTCCGTAATTGTTTCGATACTAATCTGCATTTTCTTGACTGGTATTTGGAAAGTTCTGTCTGGCATTCATTCATCAACCAATGGTGACTCATTTTTAGTTTTTCTCTTTTTCTATAGACAAGATCGATCATTTTACTAGTGATTGCATCGACTAGTTTACATAGCGGTCCGGAACGAAGTACGTATTCTGAAAAAACTTATAACAGGTGAGTAAGAATAACTGATGGGGGGCTCTGAATACTCCATTCATTTTGGTTTTCAATGACCTACTTCTCAAGGAGTAGTTTTCTTTCTTCTCGAAGCTCTAGTTTAAATATGGTGGGATGTTTGGCCTATAGTTCTTGTTCATTTGTTCAATTTAATCTTACTCGCTAAAAGTAACTAACGCGGTTCAGAACTGAATTTCCAACTTCGTACGAGCCAAAATCTAGTAATTACAACTAAGACTTAGTTGTTCTTGCATCTCGCCCATTATGAGCGTGGAAAACAACTATCTTGTACATACGATATAAACATGAAGAGTTAAAGTAATTTTTTGTTTAACTAATGAAACCGAATATGAATTTGAAGTGTCAACAAAAAACAGATGAAAAGGTTATTTAAAAAATCTATTCGTAGTGTTGCCTCATTAGTGTTATAATGTATGCAGATCTTGACAACCAGTACATATAAATAATACAAATACTTTTTCTGGTGTAAAATGATTAGATAATTATTGACTCAAAGCAACTAACTACGACGAGAAAGAGGCAAATTTTGAAAATGTTGTTTCTGATTCTGGGAGTCTGATTAAAAGTACAATCCTTTTCTTGTAGTTTTATTCAGTGTCAATGGTAAGAAAATCTACGTCTAAAGCCCCGTTTGCACTGGCGATTTTTGCTGCAATTTTTGTGGCAATTTTCCGAAATATGAAATCTTTTGTCTCATCCTTCAAAAGAGACATTCTTCTAGGAAAATCTTGGTATCCTGAAAAAAACTTTACAAGTAAATTCTTTACCATTATTTATTATGGACAAAATCGCAGCAAAAATCGCAGCAAAAATCGCCGCAAAAATCGCCGCAAAAATCGCCGCAAAAATCGCTAGTGTAAACGGGGCTTAAGGGGAGAAAATACAAGTAAGAAAGATGTCCTTGTGATATAATATAAAAGAGTATTAGTAGAACGTTCCATTTGTGGAGGAATATCTCTCCGGGCGAAAAGAGGATTAAACGGATTTAATATTAGCTCACGCCCGTTGAGGTGTTTCATCAGATAATACTGAGAGTTGTAAAAGCAACAGATAGAAAAAGGACGGTGGTAGAGCTTGTAGTCCTGTAGTGGCAAGACATGCATGAACATAGTCAGGCCTCGGTAAGTAATGGCCGCAAATGTCGGTTAGGCATCACAAGTTGCAGGGGAAAAAACTATATTGACAAAAGAGATTAAGCTAAAATACTTATTTAAGCCTCTTCCGCTCTTTTATTCTAAATCAGCTGTGTGATTTTGGTATTTTTTCTCCCACATTTCCATATTTTTCAGTTTTTTCTTCTTTTTTTCCATCCATTTTTTAATCCTATGTAACACGTATATCTGAGTTAGAATGTACGAGTAAAGAGTGACCTACCATTAAAAAAGAATTCGCAGAACTTGGACACGCTCAATATTAATGGCAACAAAGCTATCTTAAACGGCATCTTGCGTCTTTCACCACTTTGGAAAAGCCACGAACACTTTCTGAATTACACTATTGAGGTGATAGTCCTGCTTGTCCATATGTCTAGCTTCTAATTCGTACTTGCAGACAAACTGTTAACAGGCTTGTCCTTGATGGAATCACTCATTGCATTAACATTTCTATCTCAACTAGTACTGTATGTCATTTTGGATTCTTGATATTACTTTGAATCGAAAGCATCATTTTTATTTATCTTTCAACAATACAGGTCATATCAAGGTCATTGTGAACCCAGTTGACAGCTTTACCAAGCGGGATCGTCGTGAACATGACAACTAGATGGTTTGGATGTTATGTCAGCTCCGAACATCTCTGGCATTCTGTCTGCTCGAATACACCAAATCATACCTCATAAACACCCAAGGATGTGAAAACCAGAACATTCAATACAAAGACTATTATTCGCGAATGATTACGACGAAGATTCATCAGTTACAGCTAAAACTCTAGAAATTGTCTCGGCAACTTCCCAAGGATTAGTATTCTTGAACATCATTTACCTTCAGAAGTTTGGACTACTTTGAAGGGATGAAAACACTATTCCTCGCGATAGTGATTTTCTTTTTGACATCAAGCCATGCATATGGAAAGGAATACAAACTAGGGCTTCTTATTCCATACGAAAATGTGGATTTTATCATTCGAAATTCCTACTTTGTCGGACAGAAGTACGCTGCTGCAATCACGTTGGCTGTGAAGGATGTAAACGAAAGGAAAGACCTTTTACCAAATGATAATTTAACTTTTGTGTGGAAAGATACAAAATGCAATGAGTTCACGACTTTGAGGCACCAAATAAACATGATTCATGATAATCTTACGGCGTTCATCGGCCCTGGATGTCACTGCAAGATGGCTGCCAAGAATGCTGCAGCGTTCAACAAGACCATGATATCTTATGTAAGTATTTACTGTGTATTCATTAAGAGGTATTCAAAGTTTCCAAACTAGTGAATCTTATATATACATAAAGCAAGTTCTAATAGGATTATTTTGTGTAATTTTCAGCTTAAAAGCAGTGTTATTTGCAAACAAAGTTGCAATATTCACTAGTTCATTCTAAGCTATTGTAACCTATCGTTTTTGTACAAGTCCGCATAACATAGATCCATATCACAACACGAGTTTTTTAAGTGTTCTTCCAAATCCTCTACTTATTCGAGTAAATCTTCAATAGTAGCCTGACTATTAATGCTACTGTAATGGCGAAAAACGAATTTTATCAAGGATGACTAAATCCTACAAGTTCAAGGGCATAATATGAAAAATAAGAACTTCCCAGAGCTGAAATCACTTATGTCTTCTATCGTGTGACACTTGAGACGTACTGAAACAGCAGGTATTCCTAGTAGATCAGTACCTTGAAATATAAACGTGAAATTTCCCTAGATCTTACTAAGTCAACCTCTAGTTTACTCGTGAAAAAGTCTAAATATACGACACTTACAAATTCCGTTAATTTATGGAAAATATTTAACGATTTTTTTTGTTGATAAATGAGGCTAAAACGAGATTTTTTCAAAGCTTTGTAACTAGTTTGAATATTGACATTTGAACATGATTTATATCTACTTGGCTGGTTTCATGATATCCCAAATGATTTCCATAGCCCAAGGGCACTGTAATCTTCTGGGAATATTATTGCTGATAATTGAAAATCAATTAGTCTAGAACGCTTTAAAGTAGGCTTGGAAAACGCATTTGACTTTGACATGCCAACAAATAATTCCTATGAAATAATATATTAGCAGGTTATGAAGATCAATTACGAAGCGTAGTCTAGTTTATTCATGCGAAAATAGAAATGATAAAAAAGTATTGGTACATTGAAAAAGTTAATTAGCTATGATTGCCTTGACTTTATGATTAATTATGATTAATATTGTTTTAAAAATGATAATTTATCTTGGTTTTGTATGCAGCATTTAGCGTTACTAAGCTGCCATCGTCTTCACAGCGAAGTACAAAAAAACTTCCAATATTTTATATAATTTTACGAGCCATTTCACGATATTACATCGGCGTAATCAAGTATAACCTGACATCAACTTCTTCCTAGTAATCCCATCTAGTCTAGGATGGTAATTGTTATTTGCACAAGGTCGGACAGCGGAATAAATGCTAAAGATAGCGCTGCATGACCTAAAACTGCATGAGCGATTTGCAAGGTGGATTGTAGGATGTGGAATATGATGTATTTTTGAGTTCCTGCTTATATACTCTAACCATTTTTTAAATTTAAATAGCGTCGCGCTCCTTAGAAATACTTTGTTTCAATGAATAAGAATGTGTAAAAATTATTTGTTCATATCACGAACTGGACATTATATCAAGAGGGGAAATATCAAAAATATATAGAATCACAAAGGAAAAGAAATTGGACTATTTTATAAGTAAACAAATATATATATATATATATTGAAAATGTTAAAAAACGAAAAGAATGAAAATTAATCACAAAGGAAAAGTAATTTAACTATTTTATAAACAAATGAAAATATAAAAAAATTCAAAATGTTGAAAACGGAAAGAATGAAAATTACGGTGTTTCACAGAGCTCCATCTTGGGGCCTAAATATTGATTCATTTCCTATGCCGCGTGATGTCTAATATATCTTTATCCGTCTTCCCCTACAGCTGTTTCTTTCCTGCGCGAAAAGACCTCGGTAGTATAGGAAGAGTTGATATTGATAAGGGTAATAGAAATTCGAGGAAGTCTTTTGAGATAATATTCTATAATTAAACTACGAGACAAGAAAAACATCGAAGATGGAAAGTGTCTTCCCGCTGGGTCACAGTTAAACGTCGATAATGAGATCCGACTCGATCAGACATGCTTTTTACATTACCAAACTAGCCGGGTTGATTTAATTCATTTGCTTCCAGGAAAGTTACGAAATTTTCCAATAATTCATGGTTTTGGATTTTAAGAAGATCCGACAACGATAGAAATCCAGATTTATTCTTTTTTGGGTTTTTCTGTGAAGGTGCCGGCACTGTGTGCTTGCCGCTACAAGCATTCATTAAATATTTAAACAGCTGTTAATCTTACCACTAACCGATACATGATTTTAATACAATAAAATTGTAAATTATAATACAGTAGTACCAGGATTTTCCCAAGTTCCAAAAAACCGCCATTTTGATTGAACCCCCGAAACGTCGAGCCAAAAGACGAAATAATTAAAAAGCCGGTATTACGTTTTAATTTTACCAAAAACAAAGAAACAAAAAAAACATTAAAATTTAAATTAAAATAGAAATCCTAAGAAGCTGCCATTTTTTTTGCCAACTTCAACTTCAACTTGTTTATTTACACTTTTTATTATATACAGTTGTATATTTACTGGATATAATATACGAATACATATTGTAATACAAATGAAGGAAATTATATTATTTTAGGTAACGGTGTAGGGCGATTAAAGTAGCTTATGCTTTCTAGTTAATTGCCACCTTGCCTCCACTTGCCTCCACAGCGCAAAATTCCGGTTTTTTGGTATCAATTGGAAAAGGTTTGAAAAACAATTTCAGTTCAGTACTTTTTCTTAGCCATACGATATCTGTCAGTTAGAGATCGCCATTCGTGCGTTGGATGATTGGATCTCTCCTTCCGAGATTATCAACTCTATAAAACAATCTCTTAGATTAAACCCTGAAACAACCTCCGGGATGATCTACCTTGAATCAGGACACGGCTAACTTACTTACAGATCGAATGGCTAACTTACAGATTGAATCTTGAAACAACTTATGTTCTGATCAAAGTCAGGACACGGATATCTTACAGATTGAACATTAAGACAATCTCCGGTCTGATCATTCAGGACACGGTTAACTTACTTACAGATCGAACGGCTAACTTACTTACAGATCGAACGGCTAACTTACAGATTTGGGGAGAGAGGTACCCGGAAAAAATGCCTGGGCGTGGCATTTGCTGGACCGTGTGGTAGTCTTACCCAAGCTAGACCATAATGCCCTTCATGTGCTTCAACAAGAAAAAGCCTAAACATTTTCATCCAATCAGAATCCTTGGCACAGGAACACAGCATGGGTATCGTCAAGATCACGACATGGCACGTCACATTCCGTCCAAAGTTTTTCATTCGCGCGAAACCTGTTCCAAACTGGAAAAACCAGTTTCTCCTGCTTTAAGACTCAAGTGCAAATTTACTAACCTACTATAATAATAATACTTAAATCCAAAAGATATTGACATTTAAAATGAGGAAAATGCGTTTATATTTATTGTGTGGTCCCCAAATTAATTTTATACTAACCTTTTATTTTTCAGATGTGCAGCAGTCCCGAACTCTCCAACAAGACAGAGTACCCAACATTTGCAAGGACATTTTCTGTGGACACAAAAATACTTCCTACTTTTATAGCAATTTTTAGGAAATTCCACTGGTCTAAGGTAGCGATAGTATACGAGCGACTTCAGAAGTACACTATGATGACTACGTATATGAGAAAGGAGTTTGCTAAACGTGGAATTCAAGTGACGTACACAGCTGGAGTTGAGAATCAAGGACATTATGATGAATCTTTGATATACAACGAGAAAAAATACGTAAAGGAATACGAGAATGTTATGGAGAATGTTAAGAAGAAAGCACGAAGTAAGTGGAGCACTAAAAATCATTTCTGAGAAAAAGGGGAACTTAATTTTCAAGTAACATTACAACCGCAGTACAAATATATATTTCATATATATTCTCATACACCATAAAAAGAAAAGCTTGCCTATTTAATTTATAAATATAATTGCTATTTTAGAAGTTCGGCGCCTGAATCACCCGAGGTTTTTTGATGTGAAATAGGATTTCATTTGATTCCTTTTTATATATTTTTTATTTGGATGCTGGGATATCTTATGGGATGACATTCGATTCCCATTTTTTTATTTTCTCTCATCCCCCCACCCCCACTTTTTCCGTCATGATCGGATGCTGGTTTAACATATAGGATTTTTGATTCCCATCTTTTCAATTGTGATCATGATGAAAGCATATAATATGGATTTGGAAGTGAACTTTATTTCATTCAATTCCCATTTTTTATTTTTCAGTTGTGATCATGATGACAGGATATCATATGGGATTGGAAGGGATATATCAAGCCAACAAGAGTGGGATGATCAATGGAGACTATGTATTCATTCTGTCTGAGATGAGACCCGTCATGTCAGGAACCAAAGACAAAAGCAACAAGTTATGGTTCTACCTTGGCATGCGGTAAGCTTGGTTGTATCTGCATTAACTGTTTTATACGGTGTCTAGTTGGGATGGAATTCTTCGTTACCCTCCCTGTAAAGAAAGAAATAACACTCATTAGAATAACAATGCAATTGAACATGTAAAGTTTAGTAACCTCTGGGCTGATCTAAGTCAGGGCATGGCTAGCTCACAGATCAAACCCTGAAACAACCTC